GCATCAGAAAAAGACGCTCACTAGGTGCAGATGAGGCAGGTATCATTAAATATTTTCTGGCAAGGTTTTTCGAATATAAGAAACTTCGGTTTATTCACACTCCCAAACAAAACTAGTTTTCTTGGTACCAAAATCAATATTAGGTTCATTATTTGAATTGGGAAGTTCAAAGTCGTTTTAAAATTCGTTTATTTAAGATAATTTAGGAAGAAATTGAATTACATATTTTTACAAATCATAAAATTAAAATTTTCTTTCATAATTATTAAGACAGTATTTATAATCGCAAATTAAACAATCATAATTATTGTTTAGTTTTGTATAATCGAATACTTCTCAATTAAAAATTATAATTGTTTAGTTGACAATTCATGTTGGTTGTCGATTAACAATTTTTGATGCGAATTTTTTGCAGGAATTTAGAGGTAATCTTTTTGATTTCTTATAAAAAATAACTGACCATATTTTAAAAAAAAACTGCATTTAAAACATAAAAGATTCTTAAATAAAACGAACTATTATTTGTTGATCTTACTATATAATTTGTACTTATAATAGATACTATAATATGATAAATTATTATCATTGTGACTTATAAATGATACATGTAATAATAATATTGACTTTATAAAATTATTATATTAGAATGTCTGGCTTCCGAATTCATATTGAGTATCATTTCCGGTTGCTATTTGGAAATATTCTTCTGACTCCCAATTCATGAGTGAAAGCAAATATTCTGTAGAAAGATCATCAGATATGCAAGTACTCGAATTACATGGTTCTAACCTCGTATCAATATTGAAATTTTGTAAATTTTCAAGTAATTGCGACTCATGAAAGACATCGCTTTGATCGGCAAGATTTAAATGCGACGTAAATTCATTATTTTGTTGAGAAGAATAGTATGTTGGTGGTGTTATGGGAGTACTTTCTCCAGAATCTGAGTTGACAGATTCTATGCTAGTACTCATAGGAACTGGTTGAATTCTTTCGGAGCGCTTATTCTTTTTTTTATCACGTTTTTTATAACTGATAATTCTGTTTGGATGAATCTCGTCAACCATTTTAGAAATCCGTGCAGCAATCTTTCGATATTCTTCTTTTATTAAGTTAGATTTAGCTTTCCATTTCTTAGATGCAATTGAAGAAATTTCTTTGGCCGGAAGATAATATCCATGGGAACTCAATTCTATGTTTAATGCCTTTCGATAGAGAATAAAGCTATTAGGAAGTTTTCCATTGATTTCCTTTGTATACCGGGATATTATTGAATCTAACTGACCATCCAATGGAAATGGAGCGTCAATTTCCTCGATAGTTAAGCGCATAGTTAGATTTTAGAGTGGGGACAGGAAGGAACTATAATTTAGCAAACTCGAAATTATTTGATTTGTTTCCCGATGGATTCTTCTTCGCCATTGGGTTTGATATTTATACTGTCATTGTTTCTTTCTTTATGAATTCATTAGTATTCTTGTGCGAGCAAATACCTTTAAAGAGAAATTAATCGGTAAATACTTCTCTGCGGACAAACAAATAATATTAGACATTACTAACTTTTCATTTGCATTCTTACTATTAAAAGTAATAAATGCTTGCCAGGTGGCTATTACATAATTCTCGTTTAATAATACAAAAAGATAAATTTAAATAGCGTGTCGATCTTCTTTTGTATAGTTAGTTTTGTCTTCTAAAAAAAGAT